CCTCTAGCCAAGTTGAGCAGGCTCAATCCAAGGCTTTCATTAGAGAGGACAACTATTTGTAAGTTTTTAAATCCCCGTATTCAAAGAGAATAAGATTAATAAGACTAATTCGTTCTCAAACAGGAATTCTCTACTTAATTGCGACCAAATACCAAAATTCGATTTGCGTCCATGGTATGCAAATGCCGAAGATGAAGAACCTATTGAACATGTCGAAGTGGAACCTGAAGTAAAAGAAGCTATTAAGGAACTGAACCCCGATCTCATTGAAGCGGCAATAGAACGTGCCAGAACTGAACTAGAAGATCGTAAACGGTTTGAATACGAGTCATGGCGTGCAAGTAAGATTAAATTTCTTTCGTTTATCTGTCAAAGGTCCTAACTGAACCAATCATTTAATTTTCTTTAGATGGTGGCATCAGTGCAAAGTCTCCAGATGGTGTTGCTGCTTCTTTCAGTAAAGCTAGTCGCAACGCGTTGTTGCTTGCAAACTCCTCCTTAATGTTCGAATTAACTTCAAATGAGATCTTAAACTCACTCACATCAATTTCTCGTCGTAAACGTCAAGCATTTGACGGAAGCTTGAATGCATTCAATCGTAACGAGTTAACTGAGACTTTACAAACAATTGACATAACTACCTTACTTGCTGGTACTAGCAATGGAAAGACACCACATAATGAGTGTGATGACCCACCAACCGCTTGTGATACAACAACACCATTCCGTACTTTCACTGGTTACTGCAACAACTTACGTAACCCCAACTGGGGCAAATCGCTGTCCACATTCTCACGTTTGCTGCCATCCCAATATGAAGACGCTATCTCTAAGCCAAGACTACTAGGTGTCACTGGTGCACCGTTGCCTAATCCACGTTCTATTTCCACACTCATACATCCAGATATTTCTAATTTGCACACACGTTATGCACTTATGGTTATGCAGTTCGCACAATTTTTGGATCACGATTTAACATTAACACCCATACACAAAGGTTTCCACGAATCTATTCCCAGTTGCAGATCATGCGATTCACGTCAAACAGTGCATCCAGAGTGTAATCCATTCCCTGTTCCAGCTGGTGATTATTACTTCCCTGAAGTAAACGTAACAAGTGGCGAACGCTTATGCTTCCCATCCATGAGATCATTGCCCGGTCAGCAAACACTTGGCCCACGTGATCAGGTCAACCAAAATACTCACTTCTTGGACGCTTCTATGATTTATGGTCAAAATATTTGCGTAGCTAATAAATTACGTGGCTTCTCAGGACGCTTGAATTCGACCATCCATCCGATACGTGGCAAGGAATTGTTACCACAAAGTGCTACACATCCAGAGTGCAAATCACGTGATGGTCTTTGCTTCATTGCTGGCGATGATCGTGGATCTGAACAGCCAGGCTTGACTGCTATACATACCACATTCTTACGAGAGCACAATCGTATCGTCGAGGGCTTACGTGGGGTGAACCCTCATTGGAATGGCGAACAATTGTACCATCATACCCGTCGCATTGTCACGGCACAAGTACAACACATCACATTCAATGAGTTTTTGCCACGTATTTTAAGTTGGAATGCTGTGAATTTATATGGTCTTAAGTTATTGCCCCAAGGCTATTACAAGGATTACAATCCATCCTGCAGTCCGATTGTGTTCAATGAATTCGCAGCTGCTGCCTTCCGTATTGGACATTCACTCTTACGTCCACATATACCACGCTTGAGTACACAACACCAACCTGTCGATCCACCACTATTGTTGCGTGATGGTTTCTTCAAAATGGACGTACTTCTGCAGGTGCCTATTTTATTCTATATAAAAATTTCTATATTCAAAATGTATTCAAAAATAAATATTTCTGATTTTTACTTATAGCCTGGCATTATTGATGAAATCATGCGAGGTTTAGTGGCCACACCTATGGAAACACTGGATCAGTTCATTACCGGTGAAGTGACAAATCACTTATTTGAAGACAGAAAAACTCCATTCTCTGGTATCGATTTAATCGCTTTGAACGTACAAAGAGGTGTGTATAATCTTAGTTTTTTTTTATCGAATTTGGTATACATTATTCACTATACTCCAACAACAGCTCGTGATCACGGCATACCATCTTACAACAATTACCGTGCTCTTTGTAATTTGAAACGTGCTTCCACCTGGAGTGACTTAAGTCGCGAAATACCCAATGAGGTGATCAACCGTTTCAAGAAAATTTATGCTTCAGTAGATGACATCGATTTGTTCCCAGGTGCTATGACTGAGAGACCATTGCAAGGTGGCTTAGTAGGTCCTACATTGGCCTGCATTATTGGTATTCAGTTCAGACAGCTTCGCAAATGTGATCGTTTTTGGTATGTGAGAGTCAAAAGATTGAATTTTTCTTTTTTTGCTAATGACTCTTAACATTGCATCCTTAGGTATGAGAATCAAAATCCCGAAGTTAAGTTTACTGAAGCACAACTGGCTGAAATACGTAAAACCACACTGGCTAAGATTATCTGCGAAAATTTAGAAGTTCCCGGTGACATGCAACGTGCCGCACTCGACTTACCAAGCAACTTCCTGTAAGTATTTTGGAAACTTTACATTTCATAAAAATTAATGATTGTTGCTCGTTAACAGTAATCCACGCGTACCTTGCCAATCGATGCCACAAATCGACTTGAGTGCTTGGCGTGAAAATGTTCAAGGCTGTCAAATTGGTAATCGACATGTACGAGTTGGAGAATCAGCATTCCCTTCACCCTGCACCAGCTGTGTGTGCTCCAATGAGGGCGTAAGTGTTTTGTTTTAGCACTGAAAAACAAACATAAGTTTTAATTTTTCCCCACTTCATCTTCTTTAACAGGCTCAATGTGCCTCTTTACGTATCACTGATTGCGGTCAACTTATTCGTCAATGGCCCAAAGACGCTATCCTACGCGATGAAGTCTGCAACTCCCAATGCGGTATCTATCTGAATGGACAGAATAACTTCAATTCACAATCGCGTTCCAATCAAGCACAACCACCACGCCTTAATTCACCACCAGCACGTGTACAACGTTCGCGACCACAGAATATATTTAAATTTCCCGATTTGACTCCATTTATTGCATCTTTATAAGCACTGGAGTCAACGTCATTACAAAGTATCACTGCGAAGAGGCGCGTCTTATTGGAAGAAACAAATGCGAATCACACACAAAATAAAAAAAAAACAAGCAAATACTATTTTTCTTGTTAAAAAAATGCAAAAAAAACAACAAAAATCAAAATGTCCGCCATAGGTTAATTTTATAAAAATCTACTTAATTCTTAATTATGTTGTTGTACGTTTTTATATTGTATAATGCTGTCTGTAGGGTGTGCAAAAGCTTAACCCTTTACTGCAGTTATCCACTTTTCGTTCTAATTTCATATTTGGCTATTTCTCTTTATTATTATATATTTTAATAGCATGATTTATTGCACCATTTATACTTATGTACTAAGCCTACAATATATACATATACAAATATATTTATATATATACATAAAAGATACTAGAGAGTAACATAAATAGCGCATACGTGACCTATAATTTATTTTCACGCGTATTTTGTTAAATAATTTTTTTTTTGATAATTTTATTTGTTAACTTTACTCTGCAATGCAAAAGACTTATATATTTACTTCCTTTGCTAAATATATGCTCTTATACATGAACCGGCACTCCTTAGTTGTTAGTACTGCGTGGCCCGTGTAATTCAGATGGCCAGAAGGCTATGCAACTATGCCAGCAAAAATCTGTTCCATACCAGTCGATACTGGCAATTTCGAAAAATACGTTGGCTGGAAAATGTGTGGACAGTTTGTGCTTGGCAACGCTACATGGCAACTCAGGTGCTAGAGTTGCCATTTTGTGCACTGATGTGCTACGTTTTTGGAAGTCATTCTAAATCCATGTTTTCGATATTAACTTAGTTTTAAAGTTCACAGAAGAAAAGGTTGCACTCTTCACTTTTCTCTAGCGTAATTAAGTTTTTCGCTTCTAATTTTACACTTAAACCTTTGAAATAATTATTGTATTTATTTTTTATTATTTTTTATATATCCTATAACGAAAACTGAAAAATTTTCTCCTAATTTATGTTACTTGAAGTTCATAATACGATTAATATTGTAATTTTACAAATGTTTATAAACTTTTAAATCATTTCAAAATAAAAAAATATTTACGCAATATTTTAATAAACAAACATTTTTTTATTTTTATAATATAATAACACTGTGATCCAAAAATATGGTGAAACTATTAATTACTTTAAAGAACGTTTATTAATTCTTTTAAATCTAATCCATTCTCTTCAAGGTCTCCTCTCAACATAGTTCGCTGGTGTTAACGTTTTATCCAATCCTGGCTATATGTTCGGGTACCTTCGACATAATTTTTGAAGTCAAGATTCGGAATGGCCTTCAAAACGAGCAGCGATTCAATTTTAATTATCTCAACCATGTTGAAACGCTATGTTTGGAATGATCTTTTTAGCTTAGGGCATAGCCAGAAGTGACACGGTTCTAAATCAGTCGAATACCACAATTGTTGAATGATATGAGTTGAGTTTTTTCAAAATTGGTCCCGAGAAACCAATGCAGTGTGAAATGATGAATTTTGCAGAAATCTGAAATTGATTGCTCATAACTCTTTCCTCTTTGTGCGAATAACTTATTGTGATAGGGCCGAAAAAAGGAGTTTCAATTTTTCCTCACCACGATTACCGCAGAAAACGATTATAATTAATTTTTTTTTTAGAAGACTTTGGAGCGACCTTTCTAATCTTGGCTAACTTTTTGCTAGTTTTCATTCGGTTTTTAAAGAAAATTGAGTGTTTTTCGCAAAGAGCTAGTTGCACTCTTTTTGCACATGAAACATGCTTCGATATGATCCGGACTGACTTAAATGTTAACAGTATTAGCTAGGGATTTTTTTTATTACTAATCGACGATTTTTGAGCGCCAAAAAATCCATTCATATTGTACCAAATGCATAACTGAATTCAGTATTTATTAATTTAATTGAGCAACAAAGACAAACTATTAACGACAGTGATAACATAAACATATTTCCTATCTCATTCTAAGTATATATATTAAACTGTTGTATATGGCATAAGACCATCAATTCTGTTATTAAACATTACTATTTTATATACATTGAAATAACAATTTCTAGCATCAGCTATAGAGCACTCTTGTGGCTGTAAGTAGCACTTTATTGATCATGTGTTAACGTATTGAATATCGACTTCTTTATATGGCTTACTTTTAAACAATCAATTGAAAAAAAAAGAAAAACAATCAAACAAACAATATTAAAACAAAATATCGGAAGATTCACCTGAAAAATATTGAATATAGAAACCCTAAAGGGTCTTTAAAATACTTCAAGTTATTGATATATTGTACTACTCGTGAAAGAATGTTTCTAATTTATATAATTCTTATTCAGAATCCGCTGTGATCGCATGATCGGATAATAGCAGAAGACGAGAATAGAACAGCTAGATGTAGGTATAAAAGCTACAGATGCCCAAATCATTTAAGCTTATTTATGTGCCAAAACAAATACAACAATAATTCTAAATATTTTTGAAACTCTAAAGTAAATACTAGCATCGCTATAAGAAGAAGTATGGTATAATTAATCTATTCTCAAAACAGACAATCCTGTCAACATTATTTTAGGTTTAAATTTTAGTTCATAACTCATGGACAATGGAAACATATGACGAAAATGAAATCGTCTATTGAGTTCAAAAGACTACAACTTAATACTTAAGACTATAATATGGTAAAATATTAAAAATCCTCTTAACTAAAAAATTATAAGATATAAATTAAAATATCCAATTTGCTTTCAGAGCTTGTTTAGATTCTTCTTACTCAACATAGGTATCAGTAAAAAGACTAGTTAGTTGAGAAAAATATACCTGTACCTATTGTGTATATAAATATACAATTCCCCATGACAGTTTAAGATCGTCCAAAAATTTCCCATCACATCAGTTTAAAGGAAAAGTAACTCAAAATACGGGAATAATGATGTTGTGTTGGTATCTAATAGAAAAGTTTAAACAATATATATAAATAGAAGTTCGATTAAAATCTCAGGCACGAGTGTGTCCTATTTACAATAACTTCTAGAACCACATATTGGCGAACCCCGCTTCCATTTTTTTAAATATTTATTTACTTATTGTTTCCCCTAATTGGTAAAACCAATATTAATGTATGAGTTTTATTGAATTTTTGTGTAAATTTTTAATTCAGTTGTTTAATTAATAAATTATATTTAAATTCGAAAACACAGGTATATATGTTTGAATAGCGTTCCTGATGTTTTGTGTTGTCGTACCTCAACCTAATCTTATTCAAAATTAAATTGAACTAGGTTTCTGCAAAGTATGAGGAAAAAGTTGGAAACATTTTTAAATTTTCCAAAAAGTATTTTATTTCATCCTCAATTTCTATTCCATTCTCTTTAAAGTAGGCTCCCATCGATACTATGCAATCATGCGGCTGAAATTTTTAGTTGAGGAAGAATAAATGAAAGATGGAAGGAAAGTAGACGTACATTGTGACCGAAAAGTTTTCGGAGGTTCTCATTTAAAATTCGCGCGCTGTATATTTTTCGATATTTTAAGTTTATGTAGTTTGCAGCACTGTCCTTAATTACTATGCCAAAAATGGGCGCGATCTGTCGGACAGTTCGTTTACGGCAGCTGTTGAAACCAGTTCACCTCAGTAGTGCGTTGCGAAAAAAACAATGGAAAAAAATATTGAACAAAGAGTTTGCATCAAATTTTGTTTTTCGAACGAAATTTCGTGTGCAGAATCGTTGCGAATGCTACAAAAGGCTTATGGGGAATCAGTTTTATCGAAAACTCAAGTTTATGAGTGGTACAAAGCCTTTCAGGACTGTCGTACGACCGTCGAAGACATGCCGCGTTCTGGACGACCTTCGACCTCTACCACCGACGAAAACATTGAAAAGGCAAAGGAAATCGTGTTCAAAAATCCTCATGTGAGTGTTAGAGAGATAGCACGAGAGCTAGGCATCGGTCGTGAGATGGCTCGTTTGATTTTGGTGGACAATTTGTGTATGCGACGTGTCAACGCCCGGCTTGTTCCGATTCACCTCAATTTGTTCAACATTATCAACGATTTTAAGGCCAAACATTCAATAAATACCATCGAACAGCCACCGTATTCACCTGATCTTGCACCGTGTGACTTTTTCCTGTTTCCCAACCTCAAATTACCACTCAGAGGAACGCGTTTTGAATCCATAGAAGACGTAAAACAGAATTCGCAGAGGGAACTCAAAGCCATACCGGAAAGCGCCTATAAAAAATGTTTTGATGATTGGAAGAAACGTTGGCATTTGTGTATCGCTTCTAATGGAGCATATTTTGAAGGAGATAAAATAAATATTGATGAAGATTAAGAATTTTGCGTTTTATTTAAAATTTCCGGAAGCTTTTCGGTCACAATGTATGTAAGTACTTTAATAGTTGTATGGAAAAAGCAATATAAATAATTTCACCAATCTATAATTTTTTTTCGTCTATTATATTGGTTGAAAACCTTTTCCTTTCACTCTATCCCCACCTCATCCTAACCCATGTATTCGTCTTGTAAATCATTGATATTTTCTGATCTATGGGTTTCGTGAGATTACTACAACGGCAATAAAACTTTACATACAATCTATTTATTCAATGAGTAAATAAGAGAGAAACCTAAAAATATACCAGGAATATAGAAGCTAACATGTGTTGTGAAAACCAATGATTTTATTATTTTCAAAAAAATTGGTGGAAGAATCTAAAACTTACATTTAATTTTTCACCAACAAGGCCGATATTTTGTGTATATAGTAACCCAGACCCATAGCCAGATTCGAAACTTTTTGCAGTATTTCCACTTTCCAGATTCCCAAATACATAAAAACATTGAATACGAATTTCTTAAGAAGGCTCGGACAAATTTTCAGGTCCTAAGGTAAACCAAACAGCTCATTCAAGTCAACAATAAGAATATTGTCAGGTTTTTTCAAAATCAACAGAAATGTACTCAAATTAATAAATGGCTTAGTAATCGGACATGCTGTCTTCAACTATCACCTTTCAAAGATGTGATCGAAAAAGTCTGTAAACGTTGACTGCGAAATCTTTGAAATGCAGAGTCGAGCCTTAACCCATCTTATCTGTTGCTGTTAATACTGTTATATCAGC